CATATATATACTGTATATGGCTGGTAAAATGACTGAGATGTTGTGGTTATGTTTGGTTTCGTTGGACTGGACCTGGATTAGAACTGTCTGAACTTCAGTCTGACTTCCTTTGTTTTTGTATTTTAGCAGCAGAACTTTAAGCAGCGAGTGGTGGCGCTCCTGAAACGGTTCAGAGTTTCAGATGAGGTGAGTGTTTGGTTCTGCACCATCAAGTTTTTTTTTTTCCCTTCTCCTGTGACCAAAGGTGTGATTTGTGCATTTGTGAAGGTGCTGGACTCGGAGCGGGACCCAGCAGAGCCCCCTCCTGAGGTGGAGGAGGAGGATTTGGATCTGGATAGTGTGGAGTTTGAGAACCCCAGTGACAGTGGTCCGGAATATGATGATGACGACAGCGTCCTCAGCACACCAAAACCCAAACTCAAGTGGGCAACACAGTCAATTCTATAATAAAAGGGGCAATGATAGGCATAAACAAAAACAATAWTATTAGAACTTAGCTTTAGTTTGGTTTATGCTTGACCCTCCTAGAATTCTCAAACTAGCTGAAGCCCTGAAATCACATGTAAGGAACAGAAGAAATGTATTTTAGAATTAAGCCCAGGACATTGTACAAAATATAAATATAGACAAGATGCAATGACTTGTAAATCTAACAAAACCATATTTATTCACAATGGAACATAGTAAACATATCAAATGATGAAACTAAAACGTTGTACCACTTTGAAGTGAATACTGAAGTAATTTTGAATTTGATAGCAGCAACACATCTCCAAAAAGTTGGGACACTAATGCACCCCTATACCATTATAGAGGCAGGCTTTTCAACTGATAACAGGCCAGATGTCTTAGTCCACTGTAAGTGCAAACTGCACACAGAAAGTCCCCAGGTCTGAACCGGGGATCGAACCCAGGACCTTCTTGCTGTGAGGCATCGTGCTGCATCGTCAAGCTGTAAGGGGAAACTCTCTGTTTACCGGTCAGTTTACAGTCCTACCCTCACCTATGGCCACAAACTTTGGGGAGTGACTGAAAGACCAAGATCATGGATACAATCGGTCTAAATGAGTTATCTCCGCAGGGTAGCTGGACTCTCTTAGAGCTAGGGTGAGAAGTTCAGTTATCTGGGAGAGACTCTAGAGCCGCTGCTCCTCCACATCGAGAGGAGCCAGTTGAGGTGGTTCAGGCATCTGGTCAGGATGACTCTTGGACGCTTCAGGCATGTTCGACTGGGAGGGGAGACTGAGGAAGGACCCAGAACACATTGGAGAGACTATGTCTCTTATCTGGTCTAGGAACAGCTTGGAATCCTCTCAGAAGAGGTGGCTGGGGAAAGAGAGGTCTGGGCCTCCCTGCTTAAGCTGCTGCCTCCATGACCTGACTCTGGAACAAACGGAAGTTGATGGATGGAAGGAAAGTCGGGCGGACAGAAGTAATTTCCATAACATAATCAGACCTCATTACCTGTATTTAACCAAATGTTTTTAGATGTGTTGCTTCTTACAAATTCAAAATTACTGTAGTTTTTGCACCACAAATGTCACAGAATTTTTCATTTAAATATTTGATACATTTATTCTAAAAGAGAATAGATGTATGAGATTTGCAAATTATTGTATACTATACTGCATAATGTTTACTTATCAACTCAACATTATCAAAAATCAACATTTATGGTAAGATTATGTCAATGTGTTGAGTTTTAGTTATTATTTTTTTTTAGGCCATATTTCGAGGGACTCTCTCTGTCCAGCTCTCAAACTGAGATTGGCAGCATCCACAGCGGCTGGAGTCACAAAGAACCTCCAAGCCCGGTAAGATACTCGTCACTTTGTGGCACACCACAGTTTGAAATAAAATCATCTTAAAGGCACATTTCTTTCTCTGCATTAAAACCTTTCTAGTTTTACATCACAGAGAAGCTGCAGATTTCAGAGTTTTATCACTGACAGCTACTCTCATCACATTTACCTTTACTGCACAGATTACTACATCTATCAGCAGAATTAAACCAGACTTTTTAACTAATGGCATTTTTTGATCTAAGAATCCACCCCGTTTATCAAATGAAAAAGTTCTCCCTGTGAAATCAAAATTCCAGGAACTTGGTCAGCAGGTTTTGTTGTGTTTTCTTAACTTGTTCTAGATTGATCTGGACAAAACCAAGTGCAGTGGCTCAAAGTTTCCAGATGATGTTGTGGCTGATAACGTCACCTTTGTGAGTATGATTTCCTGAGATTATAGGCTGTGACATCAGTCAAATCACTGAGTGGAGTAAAAAAAAAGCCTCTGAAAAGCTAACCTAACCCTTTTTCTGGTCCAACAGGGGTGGTTCTAGCCTGTTTGATGTGAGTTAAGGTTCATTGCTTGATACAGTGGGTAAAATAAGTATTGAACACGTCACCATTTTTCTCAGTAAATATATTACTAGAGGTGCTAATGACATGAAATTACCACCAGATGTCGGTAACAACCCAAGTGATCCATACATACAAAGAAATAAAACCATAAATGTCCAGAAATGAAGTTATTTGTAATAATGTGGAATGGCACAGGGGAAAAGTAGTGAACACATGAAGAAAGGGAGGTGTAAAAAGGCATGGAAAGCCAAGACACCAGCTGAACTCTCTCAGTAATTAGAAAACAAGCCTGCCCCTTGTCAGTGCAAATTAATATCAGCTGGTTCAGTCCCAAATGATGGCCAGGTATCACACAAGAACCATCTGATGATGGGTAAAAGTAAAGAGCTCTCTCAAGACCTTCACAACCTTATTGTTGCAAAGCATAATGATGGCATCGGTTACAGAAGAATGTCTAAACTTCTGAAGGTTCCAGTGAGCACTGTTGGGGCCATAATTCAGAAGTGGAAAGAACATTATTTCACCATAAACCGACCACGACCAGGTGCTCCTCACAAGATTTCTGACAGAGGAGTGAAAAGAATTATCAGAAGAGTTGTCCAAGAGCCAAGGACCACTTGTGGAGAGCTTCAGAAAGACCTGGAATTAGCAGGTACGATTGTTTCAAAGAAAACAATAAGTAATGCACTGAACCACCATGGCCTGTATGCACGCTCACCACGCAAGACTCCACTGCTGAAGAAACAGCATGTTGAAGCTCCTTTAAAGTTTGCTGCACAACATTTAAACAAGCCTGTGTAATACTGGGAGAATATAGTCTGGTCAGATGAGACCAACATTGAACTGTTTGGATGCCAGAATACACATCATGTTTGGAGGTCAAATGGCACTGCACATCAGCCCAAAAACACCATACCAACAGTGAAGTTTGGAGGTGGGAACATCATGGTGTGGGGCTGTTTTTCAGCATATGGTACTGGCAAACTTCAAATAATTGAAGGAAGGATGAGTGGAAAAATGTACAGAGACATTCTTGATAAAAATCTGCTTCCATCTACCAGGATGATGAAGATGAAACGTGGCTGGACATTTCAGCAAGACAATGTGCCCAAACACAAAGCCAAGGAAACTCTCAGTTGGTTTCAGAGAAAGAAACTAAAGCTGCTGGAATGGCCCAGCCAATCACCTGACCTGAATCCAACAGAAAATCTATGGAAAGAACTAAAGATCAGAGTTCATAGAAGAGGTCCACGAAACCTTCAAGATTTGAAGACTGTTTGTGTGGAAGAATGGGCCAAAATCACACCTGAGCAATGCATGCCACTAGTTTCTCCATACAGGAGGCGTCTTGAAGCTGTCATTGACAACAAAGGCTTTTGTACAAAGTATTAGATAAATTTCAGTAAGTGTGTTCAATACTTTTTCCCTGTGCCATTCCACATTATTACAAATAACTTCATTTCTGGACATTTATGGTTTGATTTCTTTGTATGTATGGATCACTTGGGTTGTTACCRACATCTGGTGAAAATTTCATGTCATTAGCACCTCTAGTAATATATTTACTGAGAAAAATGGTGACRTGTTCAATACTTATTTTATCCGCTGTAAGTACTAAATCCATTAGAATCAGCTTTACAAATATATAAATCCTACAGAATCCGTGTATGGTTTGTTCATTTATTTTTATATTTTTTAATACAATTTCAAAAAGAAAACAACCATGTTAATTATTTTTGTTTGTTTCCAAAACCTAAATGTAAAATAGAACTAATAAAAAAATACACAGTGTTTCATTTTTGCTTCACTTTACTAAATCCAAAATAAAATATGTGGTTGTTGTTTTAATGTAGCAATACTGTAAATGACAGAAGTCTTCAAAGAAAGAGTTTGTTGTGGCTGAAAGAAGATTGCTTGAAAACAAAATTTTAAATATGTTTATTTTAAAAAATGGGCCTTTGTTTATGCAAATTGGCAAAGTATTTCAAGCTTTTTAAAATTATCTTCTCTAAAGGTGCACATCTAATAAACATGAAACTTCTTGTATTGCACCTATAATAAGTGAATCTCAAAACAATATATGGGAAATGTTTGGTTTTTCTACGCTGAGTTATGTTTGCGCATATAAAGAGCCAGTTAGCATCAGCAAAAATTACAGTTTTTTTATGTAGGTGTATGTGTATTTTAATGTAACGCATATTCACATAAAACTTATGTCATATATCCAATGGAGCTTTCTGAGCAAGTGTTTCTAATGTCATAATGATTAAACTCTAGGGGGCGCTAAAATGCACCATGTTAATGTTTCGAAAATGCTAATGCCGATTGCTACCAAATTTATTACACTTGCTTAAAACCAGAAACTAAGTTGTTTTCTACAATACGGTACTGATTGGCAAAAGTGGGCGTGGCTTGTAAATGCACGGTACAAAATAATTAAAAATCACATATTTGATCTACGGGCTAATTTTTGCAGGACATATTCTGTGATGTAAAGCAGAGTACTATTTTGATACCCAAATGTCTGGCCTTTAGTTTTTTATTTTATTTTATTTATTTTATTATTATTTTTTGGTGAGGAATTTGTCTAAGTTATTTGCTATTAGGTTATAAATATATATATTTTTAGTCACTACGAACATTACCTGGATTGACTTCTAGGACTGCCGCAGCCAACTGACCGTAGAAAGCACAAAAATGTTAAAAATTCAGTCAGATGTACGTGAGCTAAATTTGTATGATTGCATCTAAAACTTAGCACTTTTCATCCCTGGAGTGAACCTTGTTTTTCTGTTGGCTAAATGTGTCATGTGCAGCTGAAAGAAATGTTAAGAAAACTTTTATAAAGTAATCATTGGATGTACATTGACAGCAGATGAACTTTTGACGTCCACCCAAGTCAAGATGGTAACCACAGCACAAACATGACTAAACTGGGCAACATTGCAAGTATTGAGCTAAAATTTGATGTGGCAGTAGCTGATATTTAGTCTCAACACATCCTCTAAGTGTTAGCATATAGCATAAAATCTTGCAACATTATGTGAGATTGTGCAATATATTTAAGATTTGATAAAATTGGTTAGAACTTTATAATTCCTGAACATAGATATTTTGTGGTTGATGAACTGAATTTTAGATTCAGTCTTATATTTTATTCTTTGTTGATGGAACAGTAGGAGAATCAACAAGACTCTATTTAACATGTGCCTCACTCCAGCAGTGTAAACACAACCTGTTTAAGCCCACAGGGTTTTAGAAGTACTGCAGTATATCCTTCAGTTCCTTTTCAGTCATTTCACTCAGTACAACACAGTTGTATATGGGACACGCCCTCGCACGCCTGGCTGAAGCCACCTCTAATCACGTCTTTAGACCGGTGACGTGGTGACGTTGAACATCGGGTGACAGGCTTCGCCTTCACCCTAAAACTTCAGAGTCACCAGCGTCATTACTCAGTTAGATACCGCCCTTCACTGAGCCTTTTGTGATGAGGGGCCAATAAGGTGTTGTACTTCATTCCATTCCTTCAAGGAACCCTGGTTATATTCATAACCATACATTCCTTTTCAGTCATTTC